TGGAAAGGGGCTGCGGCAGCCCTGGATGCTGCGAAGCGCAGGTTTGAGTCTGCCCGGGCTGAGTGTACTGGCTGTACGTGTCGATTCTCCTCCTTGTGGATGGCTCCGCCGTGAGGCTTGCCTCGGTTGCCATGGTTTTTCTCCGGGAGCTGCGGGGAGTGGCTGGTCCTCCCCACCCAGGCCCTCGTCCAGGCACTCGCTCTGCGGCTGCGCGCCTGGAACGGCGCCCCTCCCGCCCCTCCTCCCACTCCCTGCCTGGACCCTCCGCATCTCTCCCTCCGGCCATCTCCAAGGCTTGCTTGCCAGTTCCGGGCTCGCCCTTCGGCAGGAGCGCAAGCCATGTGCGCGGGAGCTGGAGACGCGAAGAGGAGCCAGGAGACTCCCGATCCCGCTGGGAAAGCGTTGCGATCTGGCGGGCGTGACCCTGTCTAATTTTGAGCAAGCCCTGGGGATCGTCCTGCCGGTCGCCCAATATCTCAGGGCATCTTGAACTGCATCTGGGCTCCACCCCCAAGCCCGTCCTTCTGTGCTTCATTGCAATAAGAACGTGGGAAAAGCCACGCTAGAGCAGACCCAGAGTCTGTCTGGCCCAGCATGCCGTACACATGGAGGCAAGCCAGCTGCCCGCAGGAGCCTTTCCTCAGGATGGGTGCAAGGCCTCCACCTGCCCAGGCTCCTCAGCAACGGGTGCATGGAGGCACGGTGCCTCTGGGAAAGCAGGCAGAAATGTTGGTTGTAACACAGGCTCAGCTTATGGGGTGTCCTGAGCATTGGGAACCTCATCGGCGCAGCTGGGATTAGAAGGAACTGCTCTGGAGGTTAAAAGGAGAACTCCCAGGGCCAGGCCTGGTTGAAATATGGGTGGGTGACTGAGATGTTGTGAACCTCCCAGAGAGTTTTGGCTCCAGGCAGTAGAGAAATGTAACAATCCCCCAGCCCCATGCACAGAATTTCATTTGAATGCACTTGGGGTGGAGGGTGGGGACGCTGTGAGGCAGCTCTCCCGGGGGTAAAATACCCTAGTAAATAAGAGAAGAGGAGGGGGCTCCCCTTGCAGGGTCCTCCAGGAGGGAAGCAAGTGGAAGTGACTTGGAGGGCGCCTGGCAAAGGGTGCAGTTAATGTTGGACAGCCCTCCAGTGCCATTTCTTGAAGCCAGGAGTGGGGTGTTGGGGGTTAACTTTAAGGGGCTTAGCTGCAGTCCAAGCTGGGCATCTTCGGGATTACATATTTAATCATGTTCATGGCCTAATCATATGTATGTGGCACATATTATGCATAGGGTTTGGCAGGAATAAACCTCTCTCCCTCTCCCCCCCCCCTCTCTCTCTCTCTCTCTCTCTCTCACACACACACACACACACACACACAGAACTAAAAGCCTAAAAAAAATAGCATGTTCTGTGTCTGAAAGATAAAGTGGGCAAAAGGTAGATCAGGGCTCAGGAGATCTCTGCGTTATTTGTGATGGATGAAGAAGGAGTTTTGACATCCAGTGGCCTCACAGGGGCTAAAACACTTTCTCTGCCCGCCCCCCATAAGGTCACTGAGGAACAGTTGGGGCAAAGCTGGGAGGGAATCTTTGTGAAGGGACTTGAGCGCTTGTTTCTGCAGCTGATCACAAATTTCCGGGATGAGCAGGCACTTGGAGCACCCTGGTCCTTGCTGGCATCTGCCAGCCTAGAATCATTTTATTATTTATTTATTAAAACATTTCTATGCCGCCCCATTCGCCAAAGCCTCATAGAGCCATACAACCGGGAGCGGCCTAGCAGGCCATCGAGTCCAATGCTCTGCTAAGTGCAGGGCACAAGTCTCCCACCCAGATTGCAACCCAGCTTGACCCTGCTGCTATAGGAAGCAATTCTACCCGGCTGCTCTTTTGCAGCTGGTTCTGGTCCAAAGCAGGGTAGAGTCCATAAGCCTCAGGGCTGTGTGTACTGGCTGTACGTGTCGACCTGCCTACACTGCCTTTAAGAACCAGGAGCTACTGTGGCATCAGCTCTTGAAGACAAAATTCCTTCTGCTGTGACAGATTAATGCAGCTGTCCCTCTCTAAATGTTGTTACAAGCCCTCAGTGATAGTGTAGTGGTGAACACAGCCATGTTATGCATGTTTACTTGGGAGTAAGGCCTGCGAAATGCAGTGGGAATTACTTCTCAGGAGACGTGTCCAGGATTGCACTGTAAGGGGGCAAGTTGAGGGTCATGAAGTTCAAATCACAGGTTCTAATATATCTCCCATATATTGTAGATATTCCAAGTTGATTCAGCTCTCTAGGAATGTCCAAGTTAATTGGAGAACACTAAAAAACTGCAGTCTCCCATGTGGCACCTGTGGAAGCCCTGCCAGCCGATCATCCTCCCTGGTTTTTCTTTTCTTTCTTGAGATTCCACCCCCTCTTTCACACACACACACACACACACACACACTAATTTACCTGGGAGGTTGACATGCTGCCAACAAAGCATCCCCAGTGCAATATTTATCTGGGTTCTGAAGAAGGACTTCGGGGTTTTGGAGCTCACAACCCAGCTCAGCTTTCTGCCTTGGGTCTTGGGGAAGCTACTTTACTTTTAGTCTCACCAGTTTACCCACTGGGAAATGTGTGTTTTGTGACCTGCCATTTTCCTTGGGGCAGCCATTTTGTGAGTGCGCCCATGACATTCTCCCAAAATCCCAAAGGGGTTGGACACCCCTGCTGTAAATCACAGGCAAGCAGAGATGGGGCTATATCTGTAATCACTCTGCATCTGCCTGGATAGTTTCTGTGTTGCATTTCTGGGACATGATCGAAATGAAAGCAGCATTTAATGTTTCTTAGGTTGGTCTCCTCTCCAGGCACTGACCAAATCTCACTTCCTCAAGGTAGCTGCATTGATTCTTTTGTGACCATAGCTGGGAATCTAACTACAGAGCAGACTGTGATCACATATGTAAAGAAATGTAGTGACTGCTTGCTAAGCTTATCTCTGAGGGACCGTATCTGCTCATGATCTCTCAGTCTCTCTCTCTCTCTCTCTCTCTCTCTCTCTCTCTCTCTGTGTGTGTGTGTGTGTGTGTCCCAAACTTATTGACTGGACAGTCAACAGTATGGAATTTGTTTAATTCTAGCAGTTTTCCTGTAATATTTGTGCAGTGTGCTTCTTTGCACCATTCCAGATGTTGTTCTTTATCGGGACAGTTTCTCTAGATTTTCTGAATGTAACTCACATAATCCCTAACCATTGGGCATGCTGACTGGAGCAGCAGTATCCACATGTCTGAAGGACCTCCGGTTGCCTAATGAGCATTTATTTTATAATAAGGATTTTGGGTTCCCCCCATCTTGCCTTATCATTTTTGGATTTGATTACAGTGACACGCACATTAGGTTATGGTACACTTAGCAGCAAGCGCCACCCACATTCTAATTCGCTTTCACCACTGCCGAAAACTGACTGGCGGATTCATCTGGCACTTGGCCCAAAACACTGGTCTGTGTTCATGTATTTGAAAGGCTGGATGATACTGTCAGCATGATGGAATTGTGGTGTGTAATTTGCCCTCCCCAGCTGTGTGGTGATACTCTGCCAGGTTTCCTAGTGGATCTGGCATGGCATTTCCTGTATCTTGATTGGCCTGGCCAGCACCGGGCTGAGCAGCCACGCTTACCAGCACTGGCCAAGCACCTACGCACCAGCGTCCCTTCTGGAATGGGATTCCTCGAGAGGGCTCCGCAGGCCTGATTGGAGGGCACAGCAAGCTGAATTCGGCCCATGGGCCAAAGTTTCTGCACCCTTGGTGAAGGCCCATAGGCCTGTCCTGATTGTTGCTCCCCAAAATGAACACAGATGTGGAAACGTTGAGCTGTCGCACAAATGTTTCTATTGTGTTTCAGCTACCATTTCCCTATGGCAGAAAAATCAAGTTATGGAGCCGAGCCGGCTGGAGCCGGGGGTCAGACTAGATGGCCCAGGAGGCCTCTTCTCTCTCACTCTGTTTCTATGTTGGTGTTGTGACAGTGAGTCCTGGCTCATTTGGCTTTAAAAAGAAGTTAGACAAACATCAGTTCATGCCTGCAGGGATCTGGGACTGAGGAACAAACAGGAAGTCTGTGAGTTGGGCTACTCAGAAGCATCTGGTTAGGCAAGATGGCACAAAGGAAGCAGGATTAATTGAGTGAAATTTAGGTGATTAATGGATTATATCTATAATTGATTATATCTGCTATAAATGTGCATTTAAATAAAACTTACACTGCTGAAGAAAAGAGTTCTTTGCATCTTGTTTTCAGAGGGGGCTGCCATGAGGCATAGCAGCCGCATCCTTAAAAGTGGGGTTCCCTCTTGTATGTGTGGGATGGAGACAGAAAGAGAGGCAAAATTTCTCTTCTAAGGTGGCCTCTGCATGTTTCCCCACCATAGTTCCCAGGCTCCCCAGTCCAAGATCATGCAAACTTTTGTTTGACGTGTTGACCCAGTTCATCAGGGCAGCTTGTTTAGACAACACCACATGGTTTTGATCAATTAGAACAAGCCACTCCATAGTAGGATGGGTCTTGAGTGACGGATAAGAAATAGCACCTTATACCACATTTTCCTACGAGCTCAGTGAGCAACTGTCCTTTTGCAATGGGATGCTGGCCTCCTTCCAGCTGTGAGGAGAAGGTCTCTCCCACACAACCGCAAACCCTCCTTTCCATTCTCACCACCCCAGAATACCTAAAAGAACCTGAAGTGAAGGCAGCCCCCATCCAAGTTCCCAGAGGGCCCGAATGTGGTAAGACATCTGCCTCATGAAGGGGTAGGAGAGAAGGAAGAACTAGAGGAAATGCAGAAATTAATAACCCCAGTATTCATAATGTTGTCAGGTTCATTGTCATAATACAGCTATTATGTTCCTTAGGTCGGCAGCTTGTTTAAAAATAGAAACCTTAATGCTCTCTCCCCTGGCTGAAAACATTTGCCTGGGTTTCCTCCTTCCCTGGCTGGTGAGAGGTCATGGCTACCACTGGTCACGATGGCTCCATATCACCTCCTGTCGCACTCCTGTTCTGATGTAGGTTTCCTTGGGTTATCTTTTTGGTCATTGCTGGAACAGAACGCTGGACTTGACGAAACTTTGACCTGATCCAGCCTGACTGTTCTGGTTAAGTTCAGGGAAGCTGTAGTAGAAGACCAAATTATTTCAGGTGGTTAAACAAAAAATGTGTGAATACTTGGGACCAATAGAAAGACAAACTAGCAGGTCTTAGATCAAAGCAAGTCAGAGCTTTCCTTGGAAGCAAAAATGACAAAACTGAGACTGTCATACTTTGGGAAAAGCATGAAAAGGCAAAACTCCCCAGAGAAGACAATCATGCCAGGAAAAGTCAAAGGCAGAAGAAGAAAAGGAAGGCCAAATATGAGATGGATGGGCTCTGGTAGGGAAGCCACAGACTTGAATTTGGAAAAGCTGAGCAGGCGTGGCATGGAGGACATTTTGGAGCGTTTTAATTCCTAGGGCTGCCATAAGTCAGGGATGACATGACTGCACCGAACAACAAAAAGCGAAAAAGGATAGTGAGAATCTCCAAAGTGAGATCTCCAAACCGGGAGAGCAGGCATCGAATGCAGTCCAGTGTAATGTAAGCAAGTGCAAAATAATTCACACTGGGGCAAAAAAAAGATCCCAGCTTCAAATATAAGCTGATGGGATCTGAGCTAATGGTGACTGACCAAAAAGGAGATCTGAGGAATGTGGTGAACAGCTCACAGCTCACTGAAAACTTCAATCTAGAGTGTGGTTGCTGTGAAAAGGCAGATTCCAGATTGGGCATAATTAGGAAAGGGATGGAAAAGAAAACCACCAAAACTATACTGCCATTGCACAAATCTATGACACGACCGTCACAGAACGGCTGTGCCGTTCTGGTTATCCCACCTTAAAAGAAGGATGTTGTAGCACTGGGAAAGTGCTGAAAAGAGCAACTGAAATGATTACTTCCTGGAGCAATTCACCTGTAAGGAAAGGGAATAGTTCTCTCTCTCTCTCTCTCTCTCTCTCTCTCTCTCTCTCTCTCTCTCTCTCAGATGGGATATTTGGGACAGATAGAAGGAAGTGCTTCTTTGCAGAGCGCATAATCAGTTGATTTGCTATCCCAGAATGTAGCAATGACTTTAAAGAAGCAACAAATATATTTGTGGAGAATAAGTTGATTAGTGGCAACTACTAGCCATGATGGCTAAATGCCTTCTTCAGGATCAGTGATAGTAGGCTTCTCTGGATGCCAATTCCTGGATCGTCCAGGTGGGAAGATGAAACAGAATGCTAGGAAAGATGGGCTTTGGTCAGATCCAAGGCTGTTCTTATGTTCCAGCTTGGAAAATTACCTTTGTTGTTGTGCTTGTTTTCCTAGAAACCAGAAATCTACCAACACATTGAATTAAAGTGAGCCCTGGAATGTGTCTTGATACCATAACTGAACCAGGAGATCATGCAAAAAACTAATCCCAAGTAGCCCCAATGGTTTTCATTCCCGCAATATTATTTAGGACTGGAAGATGGTGGTGTCATTTCGTTGCTGCTTCTGTTAAATCACTGGGAGTCAGACATCCTGGGAGATGAACTGCAACTGAGAGATCTACCAGTAGACTGTGATGCACCGTCTCTCAGCCCTGTTTAACACAGTCAGTATCAGAGCTCAGGCACTGAGCCAGAAGACAGGAATCGGGAGGGGTCATATGCCAGCAGTGGAAAATAAACCAGGACTGCTGGTACTGTAGCAACATCCTGGCCTGCTCCAGAAGCCTTTTGTGAACAAAGCCCTTCCAGGACAGAAGGGCAGAGGCTGGCCTGCAGTTGCAAAACATAGAATCGTTTTTGTGTGAGGAATGGCTCATTTGTATATCCACAACCATTAGAGTCTTGGTCTGTGGAAATGTACTTCTGGATTCAACTGAGTGTCTTCGACATGATAGGATAGTAAACAGAGCTGCATTCATTTTTAAATCTGGCAGCCTGCAGTTTCAGGGCCGAAACTGCATAAGGGCAGAACCAACGGTGACAGTTAGACAGGCCAACAAAGCGCTGGTTCATGAGATAAGGGCCTGAAGTCCACAGAAAAGGTGCATAAGCTTTTAAAATTCTTCAGCAGTCTTATCAGGTAATTAGTTTTGAAAGCAGGGAATGAGGACTGAAACAAAGCAGTCCAAAAATTTGGCCAGGTGTTACGGCCAGGAAGGCTGCAGCTTAGGCCCAATCTCAAGATGGAGAATTGCAGCCTCGGTGAATGAGGGAGCGGTAGGTGCTGCAGGTTTCCGATTCTACCTAGGAGTCAGTTTTGGGATAGTGGCACAATGGCTGAGCTCCATTTCTGAAGACAGAAATGCCGGCTGAGACTGCCTCTCGCAGGTAGTTCCTGAGGCAGCAGATTGAAGAAGCTCACTATTGCCTTTATATCAGCAACCCTGGAGGTTAACTTTAGATGGTGCACCAGCAGAAGAAGGCAATGTAAATACTGCCTAGTGGCTGCAGGGGGCAGAAAATTTTGATCTTACTGATGTGACTTTTCCTTCTGTTCAGTATACAGTGGGGAAAACATGGCTGCATCACAGCTGACCCTTCCCCCAGCTTGGGCAAGATTCCCTCAAACTGAACTCCTTCCAGTTTCCCTCCTGGACAGGGCAGGACAGAGCCAATAAAAAGTGTAACGGGGACTGAGAGTAGCATATCCTGAAAAGAGTCCAGAATGAAAGGTCTTGAGGCCTGCATTTGGCCCATTGCGCAGAGGTCGCTTGCCCCTGTTGTAAATCAACAAGATCATCTTCTTTCTTTCTTTTTTAAAGAACAGAAATCCCAGCCTGATGAGAGAAAGCAACTTCTATCAGGGAAGGAAGTGCGCACTCTTGTGCACACACGAAAGTCAGTCCCTGTCTCCCCCTCTCTCTCCTCCTGCCAAAACCATTCCTTCTCCATTGGCTTTCCCCCAAACTGACAGTGTTGTGAAGGATGGCTGAGCAAATTGGATGACAGGAGGGCAGGCTTAGCTGATAGGAAATCTGAGGACAAATTGGAACTAAGCCCCGGGGTTGGGAAGGCATTGCTAGCCCCTTTGAGGAGTGGACTGGCCCTGTGCATTCATTCAGGAGATGGGAGAACGAGAGAGGCGCTACTGGGAGGCATGGATGCATAAATGAGGATCTAGCATCTGTATGTTTTAAAAATCAGCAAATGGGACATTTAATAAATAAAATAGGCAGATGAAGGCAATTAAATTCATTCTTCGTTCAATTTGTGTGTTTTGTTCCGCTGTGCTTTGCATCCTCTCTCCATGAAATACAAGACTGGAGGTGGACCAAGGATCAGAATATTCAAACAGAGGGAAACATCCGAGCAGTTGCCTTAAGCACAGGGGTGGAACAGAGCCAGGGCTAGTGGTGGGGACCTGAGGGGAGAATTTTAATAGCAGGGACACTCACCGTCACCTGCCGCCTCACTCGGAATTCCCGGTTCCCTCTGAGTTTACTTGCAGTCCTCCCAGTAGCTGGGGGAAATACATCTTCTCTCAACAGTAAATATTTTGGTGAAGTGCCCCGCTGTAATGCCAGGTGTTTTCGGATGGGTTAGTTCTAAAAAGGCAATCAAAGGCTGTATCCACGCTCGATCTGATGGAAATAGCTGCCTGCACCACGCTGCAAATTGCGAGCCTTTTTGGATTGCGTTCTAAGTGCTGGGAGCCAGGTTTCCCCCTTCAACCTCTCCAACAACAGAACATTCTTTGGCAAAAGCGGTACATCCAGCAAATCAGTTTGAGTCTCTGAGCATGCACAGAGCGGTTTGTTGAGCCCACCCTAGAAGCTACCTTTGAGAACCCTCCTTTTGAGAACCCCTCTTGGTGGGTCCTTCCAGAGATACGCCAGCCTCCTGGCAAACAGCTACCCATATAATTTCTAAACTTTCGTGGTCGCCCACCAGTCAGTCAACCAGCCAAAGTTGGTGAGATGGTACTTAAATGCTAAAAGGATCAGGTTTATATGAGAGTCATGCCTACACTTGGGAAAGAAGTAGCAGTCAGGAAAGAGGGCAGATTATGGGGAAAGGATTATGTCCATCAGGTGGGCTGGAATTGCCCTGATCTTCTGCACCCCAGAGTGAGAGGGTGGAGGGCTTGGAGATGCATGGAGTGGCTTTCTAAGCGGATTTGGTCCTAGGCTGGAGGGTCGCCCACCTGGGAACTCTCTCTCTCTGGATGCTTCCTTTCCTTTTACTGTGGACAAAAGGTGAGATGTTAATATCTCACCTTCTGCCCATTTTGTGTTACATAAATAATGAAGGGGCTAAGTGGTAACTTAAGGAAGCTATTATTTATTCAGCGTGTGTATTGTAATCTGGCAGAAGCTTTCAGGCTTTGTGCTGTTGTTGTTCTGTGCATTCGTTTCTGGTGCTAAGCCTATGGCACCGAAACAAAAAGCAACACTTGGTTTTGGCAAGTGTTTGGCAAGTATAAACGGCTGATTTATAAGCCATTTTTCCTGTTCTGAGGAAACCACAGACGATCCGTTCATTACTTTGAAACTATGCTTGGTGAAGGACTCTACCGACAGCCCATTCTCTGTACAGCATTCTTGGGTGACAGAGATTGTGTAGTTCGGAGAGGCTGTACAAGTTCCATTTTGAAGCAGCTCTTGGCTGCGTTCCAGTGATGGGTGTGGCCAGTGGCAAAGCCCAAATGCCGTCTTAGGTTCGTTTAAAGCTCTCCCTGCAAGTCTCGAAGCCTTAGGTGAGACACTGCAACTTTAGGGGTTGGGGGGGGGGGACACTTTAAACGCTGGGAAGCTACCCTGTGATCCTCGGCTGGAGGAAAAGGGATGGGGCAGGGTCAGAACCAACGGAGAACCCTGAGCGGTTCTGTTTAGCCGCTGGCCCTGAGCTTCCACACCTCTGGCTTAGGTATCTCGGATTCCACACTGCTCCCAACCCAGCCCTCTTTGTGCATGATTTCCAAGGCAGCACCCGTGGCGGTCTCAAGCAGTCTCCCATCCAGGCACAGACCAGGCTAGGTCCTGTTTAGCTCCAGC